AAAAAAAAAAAAAAAAAAAAAGGGGGGGGAAAAATCGCAAAAGAATATTATTTCTTCTTCGTACGGTTTCGCTGTTAATTAATATCATTCGATTACTTGGAAGTGTGACTATTAATTCATCGTGTGACATATATGTGTGTTTTTCTCTCCGTCGGTCTCTTAAACCGCGGAACGAGACGCTATGATTGCGCGTTGCTCTCATTCGCGAAAGACAAATATTGCAAATATTTTCTTTTGCAAAGAAGAAAAAAATAAAAAACTGATCCGAAAGTGAAAACTTGTTAACGGCGCAACGAGTTTCTTCGTCTCGCGCGTTGCGTCATAGAGGTCGTTTGCAGTTTGACCGTAAAATTCAGCTAACAAGAAACTGTTGTCGAATAATCTACTCTCCACGAGATGCCAGTTAGGTTGTTTCAAGATCGTCGCGCCTCTTAACTTCTCGCAGCTATTCTACTCGAGTGAGTTCTGCTCGAGCGTAACCAAGATGGCTGCGCAGCGGTTTTCTTATTCCTCGCGGGACATACCCATCACGTAGCTTTTGCCGTCCGCTGTCCGTTTCTGAGACAGTTTTCTCACTGTTTATTTTTTGTAGAAAATAACAATAAAAAATATATATATATATATACTCTGTGCGATTAAAATAAATTAATGACTCACAATTTTAATTATACGATCCGTTTTTGAAAGTTTTGGTCGTAATCCTTGATACGATAAAAAGGTCAATCTGTTGTTAATTATTTTTAATCATTATGGGAAGAATTTATTTTAAATTAAAGTTTCAGGAGAAGATAAAAGCACGGATGCGAAAGTATACCGAGCTCGCGGTAATTAAACCAAATTTTCGGCCAAGTCAGCACATTAATCAAGCGAATTTCGCCGCCATCTGTGACCCTAGTAGATGTCATATACGGATATGGTTTACGCACGGCAGGTGGTCGTGTGTCGGCTGTCTTTTATCAAGGATAGTAGAGTCCTGTAGAATTTTCTAGTGTAGCTCTCTTGTTTTCTCTCTCTTTTTCTACACACGCACGCGCGTTACAATTTTCAATTTTGTATAAATATAAATTTTATGTACAAATTGTAGCTCATATTTTTGTAACAGAAAAACTCGTGTAGTGTATAACAATTTTAACAAGTTAATATCGTGCGCTAATTTTTTATATACTACATTTTATACTTATTTTTATTTTTACGTTTTCAAAAAAAATTTCGAACAATTGCCGACAAAGGTGTGAAAAACTTTGGAAAGGAAAAGAAGTATCGGCGAGACGATTCCTTGTGACTGTTGGAAAGTTGAAGGGAAAGAGAGACCGCGAATTGCGAAAATACAGTCGAAGCGGCGAATTCGTGAACATCAAACGAATTAAATCTCTGCGGAGAGCCGACCGCAGAAACTAATATCTCCGACGTACACCGCTTCTTCCGTCCGTCTATTCGTCTGTTCGTTTACCGTTTCGTCGTTCTGTCCCCACGTCCTTGTCGCGCAAAAATCGTTCGCTTTTGTCTTCGATTATATTCGTTCAAACGCGCTTCAGAGAGAAGATAAAAAAAAAAAAAAAAACACGTATTTTTTCTCCCAATTCTTTTTATATAAATAAGTATATATGCTGCATTTTGATTGCAATGCGTATAATCGAATAACTCTATATATATATATGCACTTATCTCTATCTCGCAAAAGTCTCACCTTCGTTACAAAGTGTTTGATGTGATCTTCGACTCTTTAATTATTTTCCCGAAGTCCATAAATTGGATATTAATTTTCTCATATACGGGTTGGATATTAATATTTCCATCTACATAACATCGACTTCAGTCATAAACAGAGGTAAATTAATCGATTCGCAAATAGAATGTCAGTGTTAGACACACTAACATTCTACGCACGTCCAGTCTACTTATCATTCTCGCGCATAGAGTCGAGTGCATTTGTATTTTTTTTTTAATCGACGTAACAACCATGCGGCTTCGTTAACCGGAACGTTTTCAATATGTGAGAGAAAACCAATTAGATATACATGTACGGTGCCAGGTTTTTTTTTTTTTTTTTGTCTAAGTAATGGTACGTATTGTAAAATGATTAAGGACGCGTGAACAAATACAAATCATTTTTTTTGTCTCAAATAAGATCATCATTTCCCCGTTAAAGACGAGATGTCTGCTCGCCTTATATGTGCATCGGTTGGTGCATCGAGCCGGTGAGAGTTTTTAAAGTGGACTGTACAGTCGGGTTGCGCAGGTGTGACCGATGGCGGCGGCCTTTGATCCTGAAGCGACTCCTCGGCTACTTTGTCCACGACTCATCGCGCCCGCCTCTCTTTTTCGTCATTCAGTTCGATTATTTCCTAATGGCTAACGTCATTGCGAAGAAAGAGAGAGAGAGACGATATCGTCGTTGCATACAGCTCCGATATTTTTGTAAACATTATGCAAGACGCAAAAAAAAAAAAAGAAAGAAAAATACACGGTGTCTCGCTTTGTTTATTGACAATACAGCAACGTTAAAAATGACAATATTTTTCTCTTGTCCGCAAGGATCAACGTGAGCATAACGAAAATTGTGAAACGGACACCGGTATTACGCGGAGTCATTCACCGGCGTAAAAAATACGACGGTCGTTGATTATTTTAGGCTGTGTAAAGAAACGATTAATGCAATAAACCACCAATACAATTATTTTTCTGTCGAGCTTTGTGTTGCTAAATTTGTTTTTTTTTTGAAATTATTTAAAATATTAAAGAGCTCGATTCTCTCAACTACAATTCTCTGTTCTGTTGGTAAAATAAAAAAATCTATAATTTTTATTATTTCCTTTTGCGCAACAGTAAATCGTGATAATTAATCTACGTCCGAACCTGGTTTTGTTTAAATAATGTGTTAAAAAACCAAAGTGTTGTCTTAATGTAGAATATTGAGGACATAGACGCAAAAACAAATTTGTATAAGTTATTCGATCTTTTTTGTTAAAATCTTCACTCTTTAATAATAAATAATATACATGTGTTTAAAAAACGTGAAGTGTAATAGCTACCTGCGTTGAACGCGCGGCGATGCAGCGAAGCCTATTTAATGGCTTCTCTTAAAACTCTTGGCAATTAATTTATAATAACAGACCACTTTGAGAAAATTATGCCGCGATAACTCGCAACGAGCTCGATAAATAAGATATGCGTGATGGGGAAGTCGGAATATATTTTAAAAAATTATCATTTATTTTTTTCTCTACATGTATAACTTTACAAAAAAAAAACAAAAAAAACAAAAAAGAATATCGGTAATAATAACACGTTGAAATCTTCAATTCAATAATTTTTTACAACTTTTGTTTCTAATGACAAACACATGGTGTGGAAATGTATATTCTGAACTGCACAAGCAGCCTTCGGCTATGGAACACCGGGAACTATCAAAGTTATGGCTCTCGGAATTCCGTGGTCTGAGCACCGTGACGAATGCGTAATACTTTTATGGGGAGAACCCTTCCGTGTCTCGAAAATACGCTTAATTTGTAGCCCTTAGAAGCGATTCTCTCTAGGTACAGTTCCAACGGAAATCATTGTACAGCACGGCATTTCTCTCTACGCGCGGAGGAATATTATACAGATTGTCTTGCAATGGTATGGGAGAGGAGTCCGAGTATAAAATCGAAATACGCGCGCAAGGTGAAAGAGCACTTTTTCGAGGCTTATCCCAATTAACCTTTGTTGAGGTTTTTGAAACCTTAATTTAAATACATAAGCATATCGACGATAAAAGGTGTTATAGGGTAACATAAATTCAGCTTCACCGAAATATAACCGTTTTCTACCTAAAACCCCGTTATTTTCCATCTAGCTCTTCTACTATGTGTTTCTCGGAGCGGCATGTGTTGCCCGCTTATTGACACCATCGTCTGGAATTAATTAGTAATTAATTATGTTGTCTCGTTTTACCAAGTTCACATAAGTAACCTATAATACTTTACGGTCGGCGTTTTTCACTCTCCGCGCTATTGTGTGATATAATAAAGAAAAACCCGATACACATTTACGTGTGTGCGTCAGATCTGCATATCTATATCTCGTGTGCATCTCGCTCGATTCTCACACGTGGAATCAACCACGCGTAACGTGCGCGTTAAGTGAGTGGCGAAATAAACGTTCGCTCTCTTACGTGCTTTTATTTATTATTATTATTTTTATTTTTATTTCTTAGTATTCTTTTATTTTCTTCCGTTCGTATCTCGTGTTTTTTTTTTTTTTTACATCTACGGCGATTTTACGAGAAAAGAGAATTTTTTTCCGCCTCGTAAGTTTGTCGGCAATTATTCAGACGATGTTAGCGTGATAAAATCTTAACAGACGTATTCGGTATCGGTAGCTAATTATCGCATTGCGTTTCCAAGAGAGAGAGAGAGAGAGACAGACAGACAGAGCTCGGCAACGGGAACGGACGGTCTTGTTATCGGCAGGATTTAATTGCTGCTGAATCGACGGTTCGTTTGAGATCTTGCGCAATACGCTCTTTTGCCTTTGCTCATTCATTATCCCCGCACGTAATAACCGGTGATGCAGTTTAGTAGTAGCGTTTTGCCACACGAAAGACGACGAATCACTTTCATCACTTCTTTCGCGAGAAATCGCGTGTGTGAGTTATTAATAAAATTCTCGACACTTCGCGTCGTAAAATAATTCGAAACATTTGAATGAAATAAAATATACAAATTGAAATGTAACAAATAATATTGCCTAATTAATAATTAATTAACGATAAGATCGAATACCAAATCCAAATAAAATCGCGAAAATCATTTGAATGAAATAAAATGTACAAATTGAGATGTAACAAATAATATTGCTTAATTAATTAATGAACGATGAGATTAAATGGCTCACAAAGCCGCGAATTAAAAATCACGAAAAAAAGTCGTGGGTCAGTGTTTGGTATCGGTCCGCGGTAACTTAAAGCGGTGTTAAAAGAGGTACGCACGACTAACCGTGTCTAATTACTTGTGTTACAGAGCAAGCCAATCACTTGAACCTGTTCAACAATCGCCAACAGCCGAAGAAGAAGCGCAAGAGCCGGACCGCGTTCACGAATCAGCAGATCTTCGAGCTGGAGAAGCGGTTCTTGTACCAAAAGTACTTGAGCCCGGCCGACAGGGACGAGATCGCCGCTCAGTTGGGTCTGAGCAACGCCCAAGTGATCACATGGTTTCAAAACAGAAGAGCGAAGCTCAAGAGGGACATGGAGGAGCTTAAGAAGGACGTGCAGACTGTTAATCCACTTCTGGTCGCGCAACATCACAAGACTTTTCTGGAGAACGTGCAAGACCTGGGAATCCTGAAGAAACGACCGTTGCCAAACAACATGGATGAGAAATCGTAGAAACGTTCGACGATTGCCCTTTCGATTGACTTTCTCTGTGCAATCAAGACTCGGGACGGAGGGAATGGGAATATACACTTGCTCGCGCAACGATACTAGAACGAGTATCGGGCTGCTCTCAATCCCGACGAAGTGAACTGAAATGCTCACGACGACGTCGGTATAAAGAAATGACATACACATACACACACATACACACACACACACACACTCTACTTGGAAGCCATGCACAAGAATGTTTCTTACACCGCGAGTATATTTAACATTCTCTAACTAATGTTCTACTACCCCATCTCTTAAAATCTGTAAAATCTAACTTCACGCTAAACAAAACAACCTTAGTGGGAAAATTTCCAGTCTTTTCTAAAAGTCTGTAAAATTATTTACTATATATATATATATATATATATATACATATACATACATGTGTGTATATATATGCTAGTTCGATTCCCTCGACAGACACAAACGCTTCCTACGAGAAGAGAAGCGCGTTTTTATTCAATTCCATCAAAAATCATGAAATATTGATTTGAGAAAAAAAAAAAAATAACAAAACGTTTTCTCGGAGAGACGTTTCTTCGTTTGTGCTTGTCGGAACTAAAGGTGACATTTTTGTGTCGTAATTCAGCGGCTTTAAGTGGAAAGAAATATTTGTAATCTCTGCTGCAACTACTCTTCTGTATACGCGCGGAGCGCGGCGATGTATCATAATGTGTATTTATTATATAAAGTCGGGAAAAAAAAGAATTTATTTACGAGAGAAAACGGGTCGCGTACAGAGAGAGAGAGAGAGAGAGAGAGAGAGAGAGAGAGAGAAAGAGTGGGTGAGTGAGAGAGAAAAAGAAAGGGGGTCGGGTTGAAAGATAAGTCGGTTAAATAAGTTATTATTCAGCGCGCGCGAATATATTATTCCGGTTAAATTATAAAAAAAAAAAATAAAAAAACCACACGTTTTGTGTGGCGCCATTGTGTACATATACTTGTATATATCTATACACATCGTTCTCTTTAATAATAATTATTATGTGTAGAAAAAACAAAAACAATATGATAGAGTCGTTAATACATGATTAGATTAAAAGATCGTAAACATAGATGGGACACTGCAATATACCTGATTATGAATTTAACTAGTGAATTTTTAGGAAGAGCAAGATGTGTACATCTCTGCGTGTGGCGATTCGTAAAGATTGGGAACGCGTGTGTGTGTGAGAGAGAGAGAAAGAGAGAGAGAGAGAGAGAGAGAGAGAGAAAGAGAGAGAGAGAGAGAGAGAGTAAATTAGGAGCGCGTGTGTAAAACGACTTAGTACAGTGTATAGCGAAGAGCTAAATAAATGGAAAACATTATTGAAACTCAGTCACAACTTCTCTTTGGTTTTTCATTCTGCAGTTCCTCTTCCTTTCTGCGATCTTTGAAACGTGAAAAGGACAAGAGATTAAAAAAAAAAAAACAAATTTGTACACATAAGAAGTGCAATTTAAAGTTGACGTGAGAAAAATCGTCAATTTGTTTATAAGAAGCGTACGATCTTATTAACAAGACGCTCGTCGTCAGTTTATCGTGTTCTTATCTTTGCGATTGTTCGAATATGTTAATTGACAAATGAGCGTCCGTTTAATTCTGTTGTGTGCCGATGTGCAATCTACTTTTTTGTTTTTGTTATTTTGCCGAACAAGATCCAAATGGATCGAAAACGTCCGACTTGCTTTTTTTCAATAAAACCACATTTTTATACACCAACACATCCTGTATATTGGCCCTTTGTCTACTATTGAAGAAAGATAAGACTGTGTGTCCTATCATATAACATTTTACTTAGGAAGTGACTTTTTTTGGGTCAAAACTCGAACTCTTGCGGCATCGAAAATGATGAAAAGAAAATAACACAAAAGAATTATTTTTTATCTTCAGATCGCTTTAACGAGGGAAGATTTATATCTTATTGCGCGCGTGATAATATCGCGCGAGCGACGAAGAAAAAGCGCTCGAAACTTCCCCTCGTGCGCGAGGAGCCGAACAAACGCGCGTAAAGGAATTATTCTCCAAAAATAGCGTATACGGCTGTTCTGGGAATCTTTTTGAAGCGATTCGCGTGAGTTTACGCGGAGACGTAATTTATTAAGAGATGAAGTCATTTCCCCGTTGTATCCGCTCGGGAGTCTGGCACTCGTCATAACCGGGACACACGCTGCCCGCCGATTGATCGGTACGCGCGAGTTCTGCAAAACCTGAGAGAAGTACCGGAAGAAGAGTGTTGCATCAGTGGCGCGTGTATATACGCGCAAAAGCCGTCTCTCTCTCTGTCGGAAGAAGAAAAGTTAATCAAAATATATATATATATTAAATATCGCGTCCAAGCGCGGTCATCGCACTCGCAAAAGAGCCGAGGTCTTATTAGAAATGTCAAGAGAGCTCGCACAAAGCAAAGGATCGAGACACATAATCGGTACGTAATCTTAAACGTACGTAATCAAAATCCGTTACAAACAACATCCGTGATGCGACTCGATTAATCTATTGCGCTACCGGCGGTAGCACGCGCGTTTTATATCAGACAGTTATAATGACGACAGGATAATGATAGTCTCATTAACGAGGTCTCTCTCTCATATCAAATTCCGTTTAGCATCAGATATTCAAGTGGAACAGGAAGCAGGCCGGGTAACATCGAGCTATATATATGCTCGTATATCGCGCGAGAGATACTCGTCGCTGATACTATGTGCGATTAGCCGCGCTCTATATTTATATGCGTTTATTTTTGTTTTCAAGCTTATGTGTTTCATACAAAATATATTTTTTTTTTCGAGAGAAAGAGAGATAGATAGAGAGAGAGAGAGAGAGAGAGAGAGTTCCTGTGAGAGATCTGTATCTGCGCGGATTTGCGAAAATTCTCATGCAGCCGGCAGAAATGTGAAAAATCGGCTGTTTATTGCGCTCGTTACGACCGGACCGATCGACACATGCGATCATCGGAAAGCGATGGGTTCGAGAATCCGAAGAAGCGAATAAGATTCACTCAAAAATTGAATGCGCGTGTTGACAAACGAAAATCTTCGGAAAAATCCGAAGGATTCTGTCTGTTCAGAACCTCGAGACAAATTATCACAAATGTTTCGCGCGCAATATGTCGGTAAAAAAAAAAAAAACCTCGAAACGGAGATCGCGAGACCGAAATTGTCGCGCTTGAACGAACACGGGTCAGTTTCGTAGCCGTCGCTCGTATCGACGGGGCCCGTATATGAAGCAGTAAGCAAGGTAGCCCACGCCGCCCTGTAATTCCGACGCCGCAACGTCCAAATAAAGAATTCATAATGGCGATGATGACCACCGCCAATTTTCTCGATATATCCGATACACCAATAATTCAGCCGATCCCCGAGCGGGGATGAGCGTGCGATATCACTGTGTTGTCCCTTTTATGCGCTACTCGGGAAAGACCACGACTCTCTCTCTCTCTCTCTCTCTGTGAGAGAGTACGCGCGCGACACTAACGAATTAAAGTTTAAATCGCTGCGATCTATCTAATCGAGACATACGTTTTTCATTCGAGTTTCATTATCACTGATCGATAAACCGAGGGGATCGTGTATACGCGCGAAACCCTCGGCGTATACACGAGCGCAGTTCACTTAAGCGTCGCGTCGAGAGATCGCATCCTAATTATTTTCGATATATATCGGCGCGTACACACAAATGAGCGTTGCGAAACGGCGATGGTTAATGCGACCGGCTACGGGAAATCGAGTTTGTTCAACGTATAAGCACACGTATAAGCACCAACAGGTTGCACGCCGAATGAATGCTAATTACGTCGGATTATCGAAATATTAATTTCGCGGCAATTACATATCGCTCGATAGCGCCGCTCTCGCGGGAGATTTTCAATCGCACTCGATTAAAAAAAAAAAACAAAAAAAAAAAACTTGTCTTTTCATTTCGCTTAATTGAATCCCGCGGCGAGTCATCTCGCTTGTACGAGAGGGTACGCGGCGACGATCAATTCGCGAAACTATATAAAGTCGCTAATCGCGCGCGAACCGGTCGATCTCATGCTCTACGGAGCAGAGATTTGTGCTGCGAAAGCACACGCACACACAGGCGGGCGGTGCGTAAATTGTCGCGCGTGTCATCGACCGCGTGTCGGCTACCGCGTTCGCGTCAAGAGCCAAGTTCGTGCGAGCGCGTGCGAGCTTATTACCCGACGTTGTTTTGCATAACCTTCCCGCGCGCCAGAAGATACCTCCGCGGAGAGAGAGAGAGAGAGAGAAAGAGAGAGCGGTCGGCTCGCACAGGGCTCATTTTCCCGGCATTGACACGCCCACGTAATTCGGACTCATTTACTCGTTGACTCGCTTAACCCGCAGCCAGTCATGCGTCAGTTAAAGCCGAGCGCGGCGGCAGATCCGTAATTTCGATTCGAAGCGTTTCAGCACGCGAGAGAGAGAAAGGAGAGAGAGAGAAAGAGAGAAAAACGAGTTTCCTCTCGTATACGCGCGCGCGCGCGCGGCGTTGTAATTAGATGCGGATCTAGGAGATCAGGGACCCCGCATCAGCGCGCGGGAGGGGAGGGGAAGCCCTCGTTAATGCGATATCTCGGGATACGCGCCGATTCTAGCGCGCCGAATTACTCCCCCTCTCACACATCTTCGCCGCGCTTCTATTTCTTCGCCCCGTTGTGTGTGTCTCCCCTTATTTTTTTCTTTTCCCATTCCTAGACTGACTTCTTTCACGCGGCTGATTTCTACCTGCACGGTCTTTCATCTCGTCTTCGCCAACAAGGTCCATTTACACGGCGGGAGGACTTCTTTTCGGGAGGAAGACTTCGGCCGAGCGCTAGAGAGCTAACGAGAGCTCGTAGCCCTGACGCGATGGAAGATTAATATGTGGGAGTGTTTAGGGTGAGGGTGAGTGGGGGGATCTCTCTCTCAAGAGAGAGAGAGACAGAGACGATATATTATTCGCGCGGTTGGAGGCTCGCTCGCAAACCTCCTCCGCCTCGGTTAGATAACACAGATAATGGCCGGTGCCTTTTCGGGCTCTAATGATTTGAGAAATTGCAATTTTGACACGTCTCGCACGAGAAAACAAGAAGAAAAGAAAAAGAACATAATTAGTCTCTCTCTCTCGACATTACTGTCGGACGCGTATATCTTTACCTATCGTTCGCGTCATTCGTCATTTACAAAAATTAAATTAGTCACAGCGCGCGCGCGAGACTTGCGCGCGATAGTTGCGCGAAAAGTTATCACAAAAAGTCGCGTTAGAAAACAAAAAAAAATGATAATCTTTTTTCACACGCGCGTTTGTTTTCGGATCAAAAGTAGAAACACGCGTCTGTCGAGAAAACGACGATTCGCTCGAGAGAGCCGCGTGTTTTCTCCGAGGTTGAAGGCGATGGAATCGCGCGCAGGGTGGTGTGCGAGCCCCACGTTCGTCGTCGGCATCGTTGGCGCGAATGGGACAGCTGATGGGCTGGTGTCCCCGAAGGCGATCGGCCGAGACCAATCAGCGTTCGTTCGTCCGTCCGCACCCTAATGACACCTGCAGGCTAAAAAGCCATGATATTCAACAGCCGGACGCTAACGAACTCTGCCGCGCTTCGCGCGAATCGCGGCGCGGCAGAAAACGCAAGGACGCAATCGCGAGAATGCAAGTTGTGTGCTTTATATATTACGTTTTTTTTTACTTGTAAAATGCGCGAGTCCCCCGAAGTGTGTTTTGCACTTTTTGCGCGGTTAATATTTTCCGACGCGTTAGCCGATGCATTTCTTTTTGTCACCTCTCTTTCGTCCGCGCGGCAACTCTTTGAGTTTAAAAACGTCAAAAAAAAAGAAAAAATACACTCGTGCGACGTGGACATGTTTTCATTGCGGAATACACGCGTGGATGTTGGGGTCCTGTTAACAAGAGAAGTGACGGTGATTGGAAACGGTAAATGCAATAAGAGCCGATTGCGCGCGT